ATCTCCCCAAAACCCCAAAACCCCAAAACCCCAAATTTGTAAAATTAATTGAAATTATTTGGAGTGTTATGTCTGATAGCGATCAATCTATCGAAGATTACGATAACTCAAGTCAAGAAGATCTTGCAATTCAGGAAGACAACGTTTCTCAGAACAGTGACTCTAGTGACGATATTGAAGCTAATCTCCAGCAACAAGAGGACAAAGCAGAGGTAGAACAAACTTGGGGTAAAAATAAAGTAGCTTTCTATGGTCGTGATAAGGAAGCAGATGATATAAGTAGTGAAGATGACCAAGATGAAGTTCTAGAAGCTACTAGGCTACAATCTATAAGAGCCAAGAAGTTGCAAAAAGCATACGACATTGGTATTAAAGACTCAGAAAGTGACTCAGATATTCAAAGTGATCATGAGCAAGAGCAAGACAATGATAGTGATAGTGAAGGTAACTTTAAAGTTAATAACCCTTAGATGGCCTAATTGGCGATAAGATGTTTGCAACTAAAGCCTCAAATGCAGGTGATGTACTTAATACAAAACTCAATGACATTAAAGACCTAATCAATGATATGAAAGAGGTCATGGCATTTGGTTATAATGCAGGTGAATATGGAATAGAATACCCAGATGATGAAGAGATTACACAACAGGGACTCATTTCTTTTACAAAGCAATTGACCTGTTTTATAAAGAAATACGCATGCAAAGCAGACAAAACATTAATTAAGAGAAATAAGAAGGTCATTGATTTCTTAAAAGTAAAGGAGGAAATCATTTTGAACTATATGATGTTTTTGAACTATTATATCTTAGGTCAAGCAAAACTTTTAATAGAGCCTGATAGTGGCATAAATCTTCAAGAGAACCAGGTCCTAAAGAAACTTTCATATTATCGCACGTTAATCAATCAGATCAAGCCAATAGATGAGCAAATAATGACTCAACTACAGAAGGTTCAGCCAGAGCGAGAAGAAGAACTTGAAGCTGAAGGCGAAGATTATGAAATCGACCTTGATAAAGGATTTGAAGAAGAGTCTGCTGGAGAAGGTGAGTTTGACAATGAATCTGATGACGAAAAGATCTCCACACCTCCAATACAGAATAATCTTGAGGAAGAGTCTGAAGCTGAAGATCTTGAAATACAGAAAAAGCCTTGGAATCAGAATTTAGTTGCCCCTAAGAAAGAAGTGACTAATAATTTTGATGAGATTGAAGAAATGCTCGAATTTGGAGAGGAGGATAATATGCAAGAGGTATCAGATCAAGAAATAGATAGAGAAGAGATAAAAGAAGTCAACAAAATTGTCAGCAAGGTTGTTAAGAAACAAAAGAAAGTGAACTCTAAAAATAAGCTTACATCTAATGTAGACGACTTGGTTTCAGAAGAGGATGAACCAGCCAAGAAAAGGAAAAAGAAAGAACTTTTAAAGAAGCAAAAGGCTGCTAAAGCTTCGAAGCAAGATGAGTTCATTGAAGAAGCTAATGATCAATTTGGAGGCTTTGAGCCACAGAGCGAGGAAGATACTAAAATTAATGAAAGACAAGAGAAAATTGATGAAGAAAAACAAAAATTAAAAGAAGAAAAAGAGCTCAAACGGAAGAAAAAGAAAGAGAGGATCGAGGCTCAGTTAGAAAAACAGAATGAAGCAATCAATAACAATATGAGTAGGAATATTATGAAAGGAAAAGGAATTTATCGAAAGAGACCAAAGAAATACAGAAATCCAAGAATTAAGCATAAACTCAAATATCAACAAGCTTTGACCAAGAGAAGAAGACTGGTACAAGAAGCGAAGCAAGGGCCTCAACCCAAATACTCAGGAGAATTGACTGGTATCAGATCAAACCTGATTAGAAGTGAAAAATATTAAATTCTGAGATTTTGTTGTGTTTCTATTATTCTTAGATTATTTGGGGTTTTGGGGTTTTGGGGTTTTGGGGTTTTGGGG